CGTTCTTTGTTAAGCCGTTCTTTGTTAAGCCGTTCTTTGTTAAGCCGTTCTTTGTTTGATGTTCTTTGTTTTAACATTGTTTGTTAGACCTTGTTGGTTAGATGTTCTTTGTTAGACGTTCTTTGTTAGATGTTCCTTGTTTGATGTTCTTTGTTAGACGTTCTTTGTTTAACTATATGAACAAACGGAATCCTCTATAACCCAGGTCCTACCAGGCTGAACCCAGTCTGCCTTCAGAACCGCCTGGTTCTTCGTGTCACAGTGTCAACAAGGTGTTGGAGATGGTCCTCAGAGGTTCTGGTCCATGTTGACATCTCGATTGTCAGCTGAATGTCCACCATTAGTCTCCTGGTCCATCACAACCCAAAGGTTCTGATTGGACTGATAGACCCTTGGAGTACAGTGAGTCCAGACCCATCAGACCTAGAGATTTTTGTCCATTCTTGTATTGTCCAGAGTCTGTAGCCTCAGCTTCCTGTTCTGACTGGTGTGGTCTTCTGCTGCTGGAGGTTGGATGGGTTCTGGGTTCTTGGTTCTGGAGACCTTGGTTGGATCAAGCGGTTTTTTGAGCCACTGTTGCCTTCCTGTCATCTCCAACCAGTCTGACCTCACTTGATATGTCCTGGTTTTTTGGACCCTGGAGATGGTTCTGTGCAGGTCTGCATGTTCTGAAACACTCCGCCCACACTGCACTCTGATTGGTTGGTTGGAGACCTGGGCAGAGTCTGGACTAAATCTTGAGCTCTGAGATCTCCATCCTCCACCTGAGCTTCACTTTTCATCTCTTTCAGAGTTTGGTGTCTGGACTGACGAGCTCCACGGTTCTGAGGGACCTGCGTCCGGACACTGAGTACAGAGTGACTCTTGTCCCCGTCTACGCCGACATCGAGGGAAAACGAGCGTCTGAGAACGGGAAGACGAGTAAGTTTTCGCCTGCCGCCCTGACTCGGACCTTCACTCTGAGCTTTAATCCTCTGCTTGGCATCCACAGAAGCTCTGGGCGGGGTGAAGAACCTGCAGGTCACCGAGCCCACCACCAGCTCCCTGAACGTGCGCTGGGACCCGGCGGAGGGTGGCGTCCGACAATACCGCATCTTCTACGTCCCAGAATCTGGAGGAGCCGAGGATGTGGTAAGACAACATGGTTTTATGTCTCCTTCCTGCTGAAGCTCATCGTCCCTAAAAGCTTTGGTCATTGGTCAGCACTGACGCCTCATAGCAACAAGGGCCAAGGTTCAATCCCTGGCTAGGATCTGAAGTCTTCCTGGGTGGAGTCTACAGGTTCTCTTCCTGGGTTTCCAATGCCAGTCCTAAAACCTGCATGTGAGGCTGTCTTCAGGTCCAGGAGGACCAAGGTCTCAGTGGGGTTGGCCCACTGAAATAAATCATTAATTTTAGTATTTTCACTTTGTTTGGAAGATGCTTCAGTTTTCAGTGAGGCTGTCAATCAAACCTGTCCCAACAAAGACAGAAGCTCTGAGGACACAGAGGACACAACAGGCCAGAGGACATGGGTTCTGTGGACAGACGGCCTCGTCTCCTACCCAAACGTCCATGTACCAAGTGACCGGAGCTGGTTCTGAAGGAGGAATGACTGTACACAAACAACTGTCTGTGGTCAGGGACCAGTGGACCCAGCGTCAGAGTCCAAGGTTGACCTGTTCCAGTGCGTGAATTGGACCGGACCATCTACAGGTCCAGATCCATGTCCAACGCTTGGAGCAGAACCTGATGCCCAGCTGATAGTGGACTCTCCTGAAAGGATCAGTGTCCTGCGTGTAGAAACAACACTCTTGGTTCTGTTGGGTTCGGCTGACAGCTGGTTCTGTTTGTTTTCAGGAGCAGGTATCCGGCGGAACCACCAGCACTGTCCTCAGAAACCTGCTGTCAGACACGCCCTACACCGTGACCGTGGTCCCGGTCTACCTGGAGGGTGAAGGTCTGCGTCAGTCCGACAGAGGAAAGACCCGTGAGTCAGATCCTGGTTCTGTTTGGGTTCTTACACAGAACCGGGTCATAAAGATGTTCTAAAAGAACCCAGCTGACAGAATGTTTCCAGACTTTATCTTTTCTAACACTTTAGAACCTTTAACTGCTCCTGACTGGTTCTGATGTGGAGTCTCAGAGAGGTCCAGTTCTTTAGCTGAGCCCTCATCGGTCCAGTTCTGGACTTGGCTCGACCTCCTGTTTAGTATTTTACTCTCTAACACTCATTTCCAGAAACTCCAGTGTTTCCTTGTTGAGCTGAAGGAAATATTTTGTTGTCCCCCGCAGTCCCCCGGACTCCACCCAGGAACCTCCAGGTCTACAACCCCACCACCAACAGTCTGAACGTGCGCTGGGAGCCTGCCTCGGGCCAGGTCCAGCAGTACCAGGTGGCATACACCCCCCTGAGTGGAGCCAGGCCCGCCGAGTCGGTGAGTGAAGCAGCAGGATCAGAGCTCTGTGAGGAAGCTCAGACATCATCTTCATCAGAACAAAACTTTATCGGGTCAGTGATCAGGAACTCTTCTGACCCGTGGCTTTCCTCTCCTCAAAGGTTCTGGTTCCAGGAACCATCAGCAGTGCCTTCCTGGACAGCCTGATCCCAGACACGCCGTACTCCGTTGTCGTCTCTGCTCTGTACGCCGACACCGAGGGGGCACCAGTAAAGGGCAACGGCAAAACCCGTAAGAACCGGTCCCAGGACGTTGATTCTGGAGCTCCTTGTCTTAGTTTTAGGTTGAACTCAAGGTCACGAGGAGTTCTGATGAGAACCAGATGCTCCTCCATTAAAGCAAGGAACTAGAAGAAGCTGAGAGCAGTTAGCTGCAGATGTTGGTTAGAGAGGGAGCAGAGAGAACCACACCGTGACACACCTGACACCTGACGTCAGGTGTGTCCAGAACCACACCCGACGTCGGGTGTGGTTCTGGACACACTCGACGTCGGGTGGGGTTCTGGACACCTGCCACAGCTCAGGGTGTCTGCAGCAAATCTGAGGCAGACAGGAAGGTCTGTCCTGACTCCAAGAAATACTGCAGAGCGCCGACTTAGCAGTCTGCACGGTTCATCACATTTTATCATGTTGTCAATCAATCAATCAATCAATATTTATAAATCAATCCATCTCCAACGGCCAAAAGGTGCACAAAGTGCTTCACAATACAAAACCAATTTTAAAGTATCGGAGTGCCACCAGGTACTGAATAAATAGGTTTTAAGATTTAAAAAGGCCCAGGTCAGTGATGGAGGGCAAGTCCTGAGGACGTTGGTCCCACAGTCTGGGTGCAGCGACCCAAAAGGCCTGGTCACCCCAACGTTTGGATTTGGACTTTGGGACAAACAGTAAAGAAGTATTCATGGCTCTTAAGGTTCTACACTCATGAAAAGCGGCTAGATCAGCTAAATAAGGTGGAGCAAGACATTAAGAAGTTAGATGTAGCTGATAAAAGCTGGTCTTGACTGCTGTATGGCTGCTGTATACAGGTCCTTCTCGAAAAATTATCATATTGTGATAAAGGTCATTATTTTCCATAATGTAATGATAAAAATGAAACTTTCATATATTTCAGATTCATTGCACACCAACTGAAATATTTCAGCTCTTTAATTGTTTTAATACTGATGATTATGGCATACAGCTCATGAAAACCCAAAATGCCTGTCCCAAAAAATTAGCATATTTCATCCCACCAATGAAAGACAAGTGTTTTTAATACAAAAAACTCCAACCTTCAAATAATCATGTTCAGTTATGCACTCAATACTTGGTCGGGAATCCTTTTGCATGAATGACTGCTTCAATGCGGCGTGGCATGGAGGCAATCAGCCTGTGGCACTGTTGAGGTGTTATGGAGGCCCAGGATGCTTCGATAGCAGCCTTAAGCTCATCCAGAGTGTTGGGTCTTGTGTCTCTCAACTTTCTCTTCACAATATCCCACAGGTTCTCTATGGGGTTCAGGTCAGGAGAGTTGGCAGGCCAATTGAGCACAGTAATACCATGGTCAGTAAACCTTTTACCAGTGGTTTTGGCACTGTGAGCAGGTGCCAGGTCGTGCTGAAAAATGAAATCTTCATCTCCATAAAGCTTTTCAGCAGATGGAAGCATGAAGTGCTCCAAAATCTCCTGATAGCTAGCTGCATTGACCCTGCCCTTGATAAAACACAGTGGACCAACACCAGCAGCTGACATGGCACCCCAGACCATCACTGACTGTGGGTGCTTCACACTGGACTTCTGGCATTTCCTTCTTCCCAGTCTTCCTCCAGACTCTGGCACCTTGATTTCCGAATGACATGCAAAATTCAAAAAATTGCAAAACATGCAAAAAACAAAATTCCTCCGGACGCTAATGCTAATGAATCACTGCAGGAGCTTCATGATATCATCAGCTCGCTGCAGAACAAACACCCCGAGGCTCTTTACGTTGTAGCCGGAGACTTTAACCACGTGAATCTAAAGGACTGTCTCCCAAGCTTTAATCAGCATGTGACGATTCCGACAAGTGGAGACCGCACGCTGGACCATGTTTACACGAACGTAAAAGATGCATACAAAGCCGAACCCCGCCCCCACCTAGGACTGTCAGACCACATCTCAATCTTCCTGGCTCCTGCTTACATGCCCCCGCTGAGACGCTCCAGACCGGTACAAAAGAAAGTTAAATGTTGGAGCCAGGACAGTGGCCCCATACTGAGAGATTGTTTTGACCGAACAGACTGGCAGGTTTTCAGAGAAGCTGCTGAAAATGGAGGTTCGCTTGATCTTGACCAATACACATCCTCAGTTCTGGGTTACATTAGTACATGTACTGACACAGTCTCCACTATCAGAAATGTTAAAAGCTACCCAAACAGAAAACCTTGGCTGAATGCAGAGGTGCGTACCCTGCTGGAAGCCAGGAACACTGCCTTCAGGTCTGGAAACTCAGAGGAGCTGAGTAGGACAAGAAAAGAGCTGGTTGCTGGTATTAAGAGGGCCAAGGCCACATATGCAAAGAGGATCGAGGGTCAATTCAGCTCACAAGACCCTCGGAGCATGTGGAGGGGCATTAAGTGCATAACAGATTATAAAGGAAGGAGCGAACAATGTCCCAAAGACCCATCTCTGCCTGATGCCCTCAACAAGTTCTATGCACGCTTTGAAGACCCGAACAGACCACCCAGCACCAGACTGACCTCGCCACCGGATGAAGAGCATCTCAGCGTGACCTCAGCCGAAGTAAGGAGTACCTTCAGGAGGATAAATCCGCACAAAGCAACCGGCCCAGACAACATCCCCGGAAAAGTGTTGAAGGAATGTGCTGATCAGCTCTGTGAGGTGCTGGCAGACATCTTTAACACCTCACTTACCCTGGAGACAGTTCCCACCTGCCTGAAGACTGCCACCATCATCCCAGTCCCAAAAAGCTCTACAGTGACTGGTCTGAATGACTATCGGCCAGTGGCCCTCACCCTGATAGTCGCTAAATGCTTTGAAAAACTGGTCATGACTCACATCAAAACAACCATCAACATCAACGAGGACCCTCATCAGTACGCATACCGTGAGAACCGATCAACAGAGGATGCAATCTCCTCTGTGGTCCACACTGCGCTCAACCACCTGGAGCAGAAAAACTCTTACGTCCGTATGATCTTTGTGGACTTCACATCCGCCTTCAACACCATGATCCCCCAAACCCTGATGGACAAACTATCCACACTAGGACTAAGCCCCTCCATCTGCAACTGGTACTAGACTTTTTAACAAACAGACCACAGTCAGTGAGGATCCACAACTTCTCCTCCTCCACCATAACCCTCAGCACTGGCTCTCCTCAGGGATGTGTGTTGAGCCCCCTTCTGTTTACTCTGCTCACATATGATTGTGCAGCTACCCATCCAGGCTGTCACATTGTAAAGTTTGCAGATGATACAGCGGTGGTGGGATGCATCACAAACAATGATGAGTCCAGCTACAGGCAAGAGGTGGAACACCTGGAGAGCTGGTGCAGAGAGAATAACCTTCACATCAATGTGAAGAAGACAAAGGAGATGATTGTGGACTTCAGAAGGAACAAAAACACCTACACCCCCCCGAACATAAGAGGATCTGCGGTGGAAGTGGTCTCCAGCTACAAGTACTTGGGTGTACACATGAATGACAACCTCAGCTGGAGCAACAACACCACCAGCCTGATGAAGAAAGCTCATCAGAGACTCTACTTCCTCAGACGGCTGAGACGAGCTGGTCTGGGAAGCTCAGTCCTCACCTCCTTCTACAGGTGTGCAGTGGAGAGCATCCTGTGCTCCAACATCAACGTGTGGCATGGAGGCTGCACAGCTGCAGAAAGAAAAGCTTTGCAGAGAGTGGTGAAGGCTGCACAGAAGATGTTGGAGTCAGCCTCCCCACCATCACAGACATCTACACCTCCAGATGCAGGAAGAGGGCCACCTGCATCATGAAGGACCCCACCCACCCAGCGCACACACTTTTTGCCCCACTCCCCTCAGGAAGGAGGTTGAGGAGCATTAAGTGTAGAACCACTAGACTGAGGAACAGCTTCTACCCTGAGGCTGTTAGACTCATGAATCTCTAACTAGAATAATCACTGTGAAAAACCATATCATGTTGCTGCTGATCTGTTTCATGTTGCTGCTGATCTGTTTCAATGTTGATGTGTTCATGCGTGCACATCTGCTCACAGACTCATGTTCATGTTTGTGCTGATGTTCAATGTTTTATGTTATGAGTGCTTAGTGTATATTTAGTTTATGTTTTTCTTAGTTCATATCTTAGATGTCATTACTGTTTTTCTTATACATTTTATTGTTGGATGTAACTGGGACTCCATGTACATAATTTCGCTCCACCACATGTACCACATGAGGTGCGAATGACAATAAAGAAACTCTGACTCTCTGACTCTGACTCTGAAAATTTGCTTTCATCCGAAAAAAGTACTTTGGACCACTGAGCAACAGTCCAGTGCTGCTTCTCTGTAGCCCAGGTCAGGCGCTTCTGCCGCTGTTTCTGCTTCAAAAGTGGCTTGACCTGGGGAATGCGGCACCTGTAGCCCATTTCCTGCACACGCCTGTGCACGGTGGCTCTGAATGTTTCTACTCCAGACTCAGTCCACTGCTTCCGCAGGTCCCCCAAGGTCTGGAATCGGCCCTTCTCCACAATTCTCCTCAGGGTCCGGTCACCTCTTCTCGTTGTGCAGCGTTTTCTGCCACACTTTTCCCTTCCCACAGACTTCCCACTGAGGTGCCTTGATACAGCACTCTGGGAACAGCCTATTC